TTTTTCAACTCAGAATTCGGTTCCCCGGGAACCGAATTCTGAGTTGGTTATATATTTTTTTTTCGTGTTTGCAGGGAAACGTGGGCAGATGTTGGAAGCGGAACGGCCCGTTCCGAAAGCAGAACGAGCCGTTCTGCTTAAAGGAACAGAGTGACATTTCTGAAAGTGAAACGGGCCAAGAACGAGCCGTTTCAGCGTTAAGAATTAACGTTGAAATAGATGTTGGAAGCGGCCCGTTTTAAACAAAATTTTTGGTCATTTTTTTAACGTGGAACGGGCCGTTCTTGTTTTAGAAAAACCTGTTCCAAAACAGAAATTTACACATTTTTTTACTCCTGGAACGGCCTCGGAACAGCCCGTTCCAGGAGCTATTTTAACAAAGGGTTTGTGATTTGGAACGGGCCGTTCTGGGTAAACAGTAAAAACGCAAGTTTTTCTATAAATAGACCCCCTCCCCTTCATTTTTTTCACACGATTTCAGATTAGCTTCTCTCCTTTATTCCTTCCGTCTACTCCTTTTGAATCAGTTTCTTAGAATCACGTTCATTTCCTTTAAACCTTTCATAAAATGGCTTCTTCAATCTACGTTATTGTTCATTTTGATGGTTCCATTAACCAATGTCCGAATGAAGGAATCACCTTCTCCTCTCCATCTGCAAAATTAGTTCGTATCAACAGAGGAATTACTCTAGAAAGGCTTCAAAGAGTCATCCACAGAAAGTTACATCGACAAGATTCTGAGAGGGTGACTAGCATACATTTTCAGTACCCTATTAGACTTGGCCCAGGGGTTAGTAACTATACCTGTGTTGAGTTGACGGATGATGAAGACGTTGAGGCACTTTTCAATGTTCACGATTCTAATCAACTTCAATCAGGTATTGAATTATATGCTACATTTACTACAGTTGAATCACATGCACCACAAGTTTCACCTTCACGTTCACCTTCTTAGTGCAATAAATGTAAAAATGCATAACATTAAAATTCATATTACATTGATAAAGACACATAGTACATTAGAATAAAAAAACAATAACATTAACATAGAGTGATTTATATACAATTTTCAATCTCCGTAATGGTGTCCAGTTCCACAACGAGGGCGACGTCTATTGCGGCCTGGAAGAGACGAAATTGCAATTTCACTCTATCAGATTGGTGCCATTCAACAATTGCAAAACAAATAATGGAGGTGCATGATGTCCATAACAGAGCATCTCTATATGCTTGCATCGGTATTGCTGTTTGCAATACTCCATATGGCGCCCATAAAAACTACAAAAAAAAAATTAAACTTCTTTAGTTAACATATTATGCTAAACAAAAGAAAATAAAAAAAATAATAAAACTTTGATTTTAAAGAGTTACCTGATCATTCTGAATGTGATCAAACCTTGATCTATATCCAACAACATCATTATGAGGTACATTTTGAAAGTTTAAAACTCTGCCCCCGCTCCATTTACAGACTAGAGGGAATGATGCTGGTAACCTGGAAATAGGCGCAATATATGGCATGCGATGCCATGCCCAAGATTGTAACAGAGATGCACAACCACCCATTGTTTTGCTACTAACATTTGTAGCTCTACACATTTCCCTATATAACATAGCTAAACAAGCCGACCCCCAACTATATCGTCTTGTTCTTCTAAGATTTATTAATAAAGATAAATACATAAGATGTACCTTATTGCCTGTTTTGTCAGGCATCAAAACACCTCCTATTAAACCTAATATATATGATCTACAATGTGCATCAAGTTGTTCTTGAGATGGCTCCTCTGGTAATTCTAACATATTATCTCTTAACCACTTTAACTTAATCATAGAGCCAATTAGTGACTCACCTTTAACTGGCATGATTCCGAGATAGGTGGAGCACATTTCCTCCCAGTCATATAATGTTGGGCCAATGACTGGTAAACCATCAACTCTTAAGCCAAGTTGAAGTGCAACATCCTCCAGTGTTATGGTGCACTCTCCAGTTGGAAAATGGAATGTATGAGTCTCAGGTCTCCATCTTTCAACCAAAGCTGTGATTAATGCGTGATCCACTTTCAGATGTCTGAGCTTTGCAACCCCAGAAAAACCCACTTCCTCTAGTATAGGAACAATTAGATGGTGAGGTTCTGGCATTAAATGACAGTAAGAACAAATAATATTCTCAGTCTTCTGCAATAATTACCAAAATTAGTACTAATTTGTTACAAGTTCATTGAAATTTAAAGTAAATAACGAAAGTGCTAAACTTACCGTTCTACCAATGAAAGCAGACCTATGCTCATTTTGCTTCCACAACAACATTTTTGATATTTGGTTAATGAAAATTGAACCAAAAAAAAATTTCTTACTATCAAGGTGAATCAGAAGCAGTACAGGAAAGGAGTAAAGGAGACAAACTCAGCTGAAATCGCATAAAAAAATGAAGTGGAGGGGGTCTATTTATAGAAAAACTTGCGTTTTTACTGTTTACCCAGAACGGGCCGTTCCAAAACCAGAACGGCCCGTTCCAAATCACAAACCCTTTGTTAAAACAGCTCCTGGAACGGGCCGTTCCGAGGCTGTTCAAGGAGTAAAAAAATGTGTAAATTTCTGTTTTGGAACGGGCTGTTCTAAAACAAGAACGGTCCGTTCCACGTTAAAAAAAATGACCAAAACCTTTGTTTAAAACGGGCCGCTTCCAACATCTATTTCAACGTTAATTCTTAACACTGAAACGGCCCGTTCTTGACCCGTTTCACTTTCAGAAATGTCACTCTGTTCCTTTAACCAGAACGACCCGTTCTGCTTTCGGAACGGGCCGTTCCGCTTCCAACATCTGCCCACGTTTCCCTGCAAACACAAAAAAAAATATATAAAACCAACTCAGAATTCGGTTCCTCGGGAACCGAATTCTGAGTTGGAAAAACAAAAAAAAAATACACTTTGGTGCTCAGAATTCGGTTCCCCGGGAACCGAATTCTGAGCTTGAACAGTGAATGGTTCTATCTCTGTAAATAAACCTGCACAATGGTTAATTGGGTAATTTTTTTTAAAAAAAAATAATATTTACGTAAAAAATTCAACAAAGGAGAGGAGGGACATTTGGAATTTTAAATATAAGAAAATAATTTGATTCGATTTTATTATCAATTATCAATATAAAAACTGTTTATAAGGAATGGTAATTAAATAGCGATTAATTTAAGACTTGGACAAGAGGAAACTTAATTTGTCTAATCAAAGAGCTACCCCTAAACTGTGTCTTGTAATTATCCCTTTGTTATTTTGGTTTTGGTGGTTTGTCTTTATATTGTCCTTTAAGAACGCCCAAATGCATGGCCAGACTAATAGCTAAGCTATATTATTGACATTGTGACACGACTTATTTTGTGCAAATGGTGAGCCACCAAACACGTGAAAAGCAGCATCAAAGACATGCCTATTACTACCTATTACTAATCCACATTCTGAAATAATTGGTCTATCTTTCAAGGTAACTTTATAATTCGAAGACATTAGAAAACCATGTAGGGTAAATGGGGCTTATTTGACCTTTTCCTTATCCTTGTTCATGATATTATGCCCATAAACGTTCTTCTTGGAAGGTCGTTCCAACACAATTTGATGTTTTGTCCACATTTTCGACTCTCTCAATTTGAATATTTGAAAATATACCTTCCCTTCACTTTGAACTTGTAATTGGGATAATAATTTTTCTTACAATGACTGTCCACTTATTTAATGCAGCCATTAATTCTTAGTAGGAAGGGGTGAAAGGGCAGGTGTGCCAACATAAATGAAGGGGCAGTTTGTTTCCTTTGAAAAAATTTGAAAAGAAATCTTTTTTTTTTTTTTCCAGAAGATAGATCAAGGGGACCAGAGGTGAAAACTAAAAAAATCGTAACAATAATGATTTAGAGATTCATATGAAGCAACTTTCTTTTTATACCATTTGCTACTTATGACTATTTATATGTATGCCCACTTGATAAAGCAGCAAAATCTTGAACCAATTAAAGCGGATCGATTGAGTTTATGAGCTGGAGCCTAGTAGTGGTCACAAATTTCAAATTCTTTGTTACATTTAACCACTAAAATTGACCTGTGCACTTCGTTACAGACTCGCCCTTAATTTGAACATGTTACTGGGATTTATTCTTTGCCAATGACATTGACAGATGAAAAGTAATGTACATTAGTAATCACAGTAATTAAAATTAATTTCATATTCGGGTAGTAAAAAATAGACTTGGTAAATTTAATGCATTCGTGAAGCCTATTATCATTGATAACTACAATCACAATGGGATAAAAAGTTTCCCATCCGTTCAGAGCAATGTAATGCTAAATGCTAGTAATTGATTTTATTAAACTAAGTGACCAAGTCAACAGGTGACGATGAAAATTTCATTGTTAAAATAATAAAATATCCCATCACTTGCGCAAAATGCAAGAAACTGGTTGGCAAGCAATGAGATACAAGGGCTAATAAAGGTTTCAAGGAGAAAACTGATCTAAGTGAGGAGAGAGAGAAACAGTAGGTGAGAAATTATGATCTGATTCATAGAAAAGAAAAAGAAAGAAGGTTTGGTAAAGGAGAGAAAACGATCCCATATGATCCCCTTTTTAGGAATTTGCTCAAGGTCCATTTGTCCGCTTTGAGTTTGTGGATTCCATTCTGTTTCACCTATATTTTATTTGGGTTAAAGTTTCACCTGTTGTTTTCTTTCATAAAAACCTAAACAGAAAGCACAAACAAACAATTTCTTTCATTCTCATCCCCTCCATTTCTTTTTTCCAATTGCTATTGCAAGTCAGGTCCATTTCACCCCCTGCAACAATACCCCAACTCTGGGTATTATACATTTTGCATCCCTCCAACCTTTCATAGTCGCCAAAATTTCAGTGTCTCCAGTTCCACCTTCCTCAAATCATTCGCATCCTTTTCTTACTCATGGATCTCACTCTCCAGTAACCTGGACTCCAATTTCTGGGAAAAACAATCAAACAATATAATTAATTTAGAGAAAAAAATGTCTTCAGCAGAGAAACCCAGCTCCAAAGGACAAGCATGGTTAGATTCTCATTATCTTCCTCTCTTTCAAGATTTTTTGTGTTTAATTTGTGCTCACAAGTCCACTCTGCAGGTTCTGCACAACGGGATTGCCAAGTGACATTGTGGTAGAAGTGGATGACATGACATTCCATCTCCACAAGGTAAGCCTCTCGCACGCATGGGTCCATTTCCACTTCCAGTAGCGACAATATTCCGTACTTCATTCTCTGAATTCTGTTTCAGTTTCCTCTCATGTCCAAAAGCCGAAAGCTCCACCACCTCATAACGCAGCAAGAGGAAGCCACTCATTCCACTGTTCCGCACCAGCCGCAGCAAGAAAACGAAGACGAAGACGAAATAGTCGAAGAGCAGTGTCACGTGACTTTCACGGGCTTCCCCGGTGGCTCCGAGGCCTTCGAGATGGCCGCCAAATTCTGTTACGGCGTCAAGATCGACCTCTCCCCCTCCAATGTGGCCGCGCTACGCTGCGCCGGCGAGTTTCTCGAAATGACCGAAGAGTACTCCGAAGACAACCTCGTTTCCAAGACGGAGAGGTTTCTCTCGCAGCACGTGCTCAAGAGCCTCAAGGACTCCATCAAAACGCTTAAATCGTGTGACAGCTTGATGCCTATGGCGGAAACGCTCGGAATCACGCAGAGGTGCCTTGATTCTGTGGTTTCCAGAGCTTCGTCCGCGGATCCTGCATTGTTTGGCTGGCCGGTCAGCGACGCTACTTCTGCGTCCAAACAGGTCCTCTGGAACGGAATTGACGGTGCCGGGAGAAGAAAGGCCGCCTCAGGTGCCGCCACCGCCGGAGGTGACTCTTGGTTTGAAGATCTGGCGCTTCTGCGTTTGCCTCTGTTCAAGCGATTGATTCTTGCCATGAGAACTGCGGAGCTCAGTCCTGAGATTATTGAGACTTGCGTGATGTATTATGCTAAGAAGTACATTCCCGGAGTTTCGAGATCGAACCGGAAGCCGTTGCCGTCGTCGTCTTCGTCCGTTTCGACGGAAGCGGAGCAGAAGGAGCTTCTGGAGACCGTGGTTTCGAATCTTCCATTGGAGAAGAGTTCGAAGTCGGCGACGGCGACGAGGTTTCTGTTCGGATTGTTACGAACGGCGAATATATTGAACGCTTCCGAAGCCTGCAGAGACGCGTTGGAGAAGAAGATAGGGTTTCAGCTCGAAGAAGCCACGCTCGACGACCTTCTCGTGCCGAGTTACTCGTACCTGAACGAAACGCTTTACGACGTGGATTGCGTGGAGAGGATTTTGAGTCACTTTCTCGAAGGTTTAGAAACAAGAAACGCCGCAAGAGCCGAAGACGCGGCGACGAGGTCGCCGGCGCTGATGCTTGTCGGAAAACTCATCGACGGCTACCTCTCCGAGATAGCCTCCGACGCGAATCTCAAGCCGGAGAAGTTCTACAATTTTGCCATCTCGCTTCCCGACGAGGCTAGACTCTTCGACGACGGTCTCTACCGCGCCGTCGATGTGTATCTCAAGGTACCGATTCCGTAGCGAATGCTATTTTCCATTGAGAATTTCCGTTTTCTCATTTGATGATGGAGTTGTTGGATTCGATTGTGTTGATTTGTATTTTTGCAGGCACATCCGTGGGTTTCGGAAGAGGAGAGAGAGAAGATTTGCGGATTGTTGGACTGTCAGAAGTTGACGCTAGAGGCGTGCACGCACGCGGCACAAAACGAGAGGCTTCCGCTGCGCGCGGTGGTTCAGGTGCTGTTCTTTGAGCAGCTTCAACTGCGACACGCCATCGCCGGGACGCTGATGGCGGCGGAGGCGGCCTCCGAGCCGGGGCGGCAATCGGCGGCGCTGGAACGTGAAGCGGAGGACGACGGAGAAGGGTTGGGGATAGAGCAGGTGCAGGAAAGGAACGGCACGTGGCGTGTGGCGGTGAGGGAGAATCAGGTGCTGCGGCTGGGCATGGATAGCATGCGGACGCGCGTGCATCAACTGGAACGCGAGTGTTCCTCGATGAAGAGAGTCATCGCGAAATTTGACAAGTCCGGCGGAAGCGGCGGGGGCGGAGGCGGAGGCGCCGGCGGTTGGCGGGCGTCGCTGGGGCGGAAGTTCGGTTGCAAGTTTAAAACTCAGGTTTGTGATTCGCATGAGTCAACGGCTGTTGATACCCGCAAGGGACGGCATCAGCAGCATCATCCCCATCATGAATAGTCACCATGCTAAACTTCCTCCTCTCACGTGAGAATCATTGTTGGAGTAAATTTGATACGGGTCCCACTTGTAATTGTTCATTTTTTTTCTTCTTTAATTTTCCATAAATTTAATTTTAATTGATTAACACAATTTTACTTTATCAATATTTGGCATAAGAAAATACGAGATGGACTTGTTTTCAGAAGAAACTTTTATCTAATTTAACAATGATTATATTTTAACCTTGTTAATGTTAAGGTAACCTTACTTTATACACTTTATAGAGGGACTTTTTTTCTTCTAAGATGTTTCTTTTATTGCTTACTGCCATCGCGCACCAGTGCAGCAATTATTGAGTTTAAATTGTTTGAGGTGAGCGACTTTTGAGGTGATGGCGATGTGCTGAGAAGCACACGACATGAAATTATAGGGTATGAATGATAGTGGGTGGCATGGTGGAGACAGCAAATAGGTAATGGAAATTTCTTCGAAGTTTGTGTGATTATTATTGTTGGTTACATTACTCAATCACACTCATAATTGCTTCTAATAAAAGATGGGGTTATGCTAAAGTGCTTTCCAGAAACTGAAAGTACTCGTGATCATTATCCGCAGAAGCAGCTACAAAGGCTTCTTCACTTTCTGGGTTTGACGCTGGACTCATTATTGCTTTTGCTTCCACATCTCGTTGAGCAATAGTAAAGTGACTTGCCTTTGATTGGATTTGAGTAGAAGGGGTAGAAATAGTCAGACGTATTCTTTCATGTGTGTTCCTTAATTCTATAACCCTCATCATTATGTGGGGAAGTTTACAGTCGGAAACTTTGAGCTTTCATGTGTTCTTTTATTATTGTTGTTGACTTGAGAACATGGAATCGGACTAAAAACAATAGGTAGGTTGACATACATGAAAAGGACCTTAGTCTCTGCATTGTTATTCAAGGTAAACACTTATCAATATTTTTGAAGAATATTGATAAAAAAATAAAAATATTTTTCACATAAAAATTAATATTTGTTTCTAGTAACAATATTTAAGAACATATATTTAATGATTGATAACTAAGGTAGGCAATCGGTAGTTAATATTATTGGAGGATATTTGGATCATAGTTTTATTGTCTATAATAATTCTATTAAATTAAAATACAATTGTCTTTAATAGAATACATGTGATATTTTTTTTAACTGAATTTCGTTAAGCAGATTGTTTTTTTATTTAAACTAGTAATTTATTAGAGTACCCTTCAGATCACTATTTGGCTGAGCAGATCAAATGAAGGCTCTTTGCATTATCAGTGCTTCAACCATGAGGGTTGTGTACCCTCCAAATCTCCATTTGGTCGTGCAGGCCAAATGAAGGCTCTTTGCATAGTCAAAACCCAAGTCACGAGAATGGTGTACCCTCAATATCTCCATTTGGCCAAGCAGGTTCAAGTCAAGAAGGTTGTGTACCCTCCAAATCTTCAATTGACTAAGTAGTCCGAACAACACTTGCTTTCTTGATCATCATCCGACCGAGCAATCCAGATTTCAGAGTTAATCATCAACATGTTTATTGAGTCTGTGGAGTCTGAAGGGTTTATTGGGCTTGACCCATTTGCTTTCTCTCTTTTTTATAAATACTCGTGTAATTGTAAACCTAATTATGAAATAAAAAATACCATCTAGTGCGACCGTGGATGTAGGTTATTCTGATCGAACCAAGTAAATCTCTATGTCTTGTGAATTTACTTTCTCTCTTGTAATTATCGTGTGAGTGCATTTGTGATTCCTAACAGCTGGTATCAAGAGCCTAGGGTTTTACGCGAGCGGGAGCAATGGCAGAAGACGGGAAAGTGAAGATTGACAAGTTCGATGGGAGTGATTTCGAATTTTGGAAGATGCAGATTGAAGATTATTTGTATCAGAAGAAGCTATACCAGCCTCTATCCGAGAATAAACTAGAAACGATGTCTCAAACAGATTGAGAGTTGCTAGATTGGCAAGCTCTGCGCGTCATCAGATTGATGTTGGCGAAGAATGTCGCCTACAACATTGTCAATGAGAAGACAACATATGGTTTGATAAAGGCGTTATCAAACATGTATGAGAGCCAATCAAAATCAAACAAGGTATTTCTGATTCGTCAACTAGTTAATACAAAGATGTGAGAAGGTGCTAGTGTTACAGATCATGTGAACGAATTTAATTCCTTACTGTCGAGATTAGTATTAGTGGATATTAAATTTGATGATGAAGTACAAGCTCTATTGTTGTTATCCTTGTTGCCTGACAGTTGGTCAGGAATTGTCACAACAATCGCTAGTACATTTGGGACTACGAAATTGACCTTCGAATGAATTAGGGATTTAATCCTTGGTGAGGATGTTCGTAGGAGAAATGCCGGAGAATCAGCAGGTTCCTTATTGAGCACAAAAGGTAGAGGCATAAGGCTTGAAAGGGGGCAAGGTTTTAGGTGTGATAGATCAAAGTCCAAGAAGCGAGGACAATCTAAATCTCACAAGGATATTACTTATTGGAATTGTCAATAGAATGACCACTTCAAAAATAAGTGTACTGCTTCTTTTTCCCCTAAAGAAATGAGGCATGACAACATAGTGAATGCAGCACAAGAAAACATTGATGATGCGTTGATCTGTTGTGTTGAGAGTAAGTTTGAATCCTAGATCATAGATTCTAGTGCATCTTTCCATGCTTCTCCTTGCAAGGACTTGATGAAAAATTTCAGAACTGGGAATTTTGGCAAAGTTCATCTAGTAGATGATGAAGCTTTAGACATCGCAGGCATGGGAGATATAAATCTTAGAACTTCTATGGGTACAATATGGACACTGAAGGACGTCAGATATATTCCGGGACTCAAGAGAATGTTAATCTCTATGGGTATGTTGGATGCTCGGGATATCAAGTTACATTCGGAGATGGTTAGTGGAAGGTGGTGAAGGGTAATCTAGTTGTTGCTCACAGTTGGAAGCAAGGAACCCTTTGCATGGTAGAATTACCTGTAGAAGAAGTAAATTCAGTTAGTGGTGATGTTGGTCACTTTTCGATTCCGTGGCACCAAAGACTTGGTCATATGAGTGAGAAGGATATGAAGATACTAATCTCAAAGGGGAAGATTCCATAATTGAAAGAGGTAGAAGTTGGTTTATGTGAACCATGAGTGTTTGGAAAGCAGAAGAGAGTTACTTTTGCCGAGTTAGGGATGATGCCTAAGGTTGAGAAGTTGGAGCTTGTTCATATAGATGTGTACGGACCAACATCAGTCTCATCATTGGGAGGATCACGATATTATGATTCCACCAAAAAGGTATGGGTTTATTTTTTGACGCAAAAATCAGAAGCATTTAACACCTTTAAGAAGTGGAAAGCTACTGTTGAAAATGATACAGGATTAAAAGTTAAATGTTTAAAGTATGATAATGGTGGTGAATACAATAGTAGTGAATTTGTTAATTACTATGCTGAGACACCTCAGAAGAATGGAGTTGCTGAAAGAATGAACAGGACCTTCAATGAGAGGGAAAAAAGTATGAGAATTCATGCAGGGTTATCGAAGCATTCTAGGCAGATGCAGTGAGCACAACAGCATGCCTCATTAATTGAAGACCCTCAGTTCCCATAGGGTTCAAGATTTCTAAGGAGGAATGGCAAAGCAAGGATGTATGTCTTTCTCATTTGAAAGTATTTGGTTGTGTTTCTTATGTTCGTGTTAGAGATGCTAATAGGGACAAGCTTGATCGAAAAGCAAGAAAGTGCATTTTTATTGGCTATGGAGCAAATGATATGGGATATCGCTTCTGGGATGATCAAAACAGAAAGATCATTAGAAGCAAAGATGTTACTTCTAATGAAAATGCCATATACAAGGAAAAACTTGAGACAAATGTTGAAGCTAAAAAGAAACCAATAGAGAAGCAAGAGGTAGTGTTAGATGACATTACAAAAAAAAAAGATGACATTACAAAAAAAAGACGACATTGTAGGAAAAGGTGAGAGCTCAAAAAATAGGATAGTTGAGGGGACCACTTTAGTCACTCTAGTAATTGAAGTGAGGAGATCTAGTATAGTTATTAGTCCTCCTCATAGATTCTCTCCTTCAGCAAATTACTTGTTGTTGACTAATGATGGAGAACCTCTATGTTATCATGAGGCATTGCAGATGGATGATGCAGCCCTGTGGGAATTAGCCATGTGGTAGGAGATGAACTCACTTGAGAAGAATAAAACTTGGTATTTGACTGACCTACCAACAGGAAAGAGGGCATTGCAGAACAAGTCGGTGTTCAGGGTCAAGGGAAAACATAATGGCAACAAGAGATACAAGGCAAGGTTAGTGGTAAATAGTTTTTAGCAAAAGAAAGGTATTGACTATAATAATATTTTCTCTCATATAGTTAAAATGACTACCATTAGACTTGTGTTGAACATTGTGTCTGCAGAGGACTTACATCTAGAGCAGCTAGATGTTAAGACAACATTCTTACATGGTGACTTTGATGAGAACATCTACATGGTGCAACCAAAGGGTTTCCAAATAGCAGGGAAGGAGAACTTGGTCTGTAAGTTGACCAAGAGTTTGTATGGGTTGAAGCAAGCAACAAGGCAGTCGTACATGAAGTTTGACATTTTTATGAGTAGGAAGGGGTACAAAAAGTGTGTCAAGGATCAATGTTGTTATTTGAAAAATTTTGGTCCATCCTATATCATATTACTACACTACAAGAAAAACACAAATTTTCGACGGATAATTTCCGACGGATACAAATCCTTCGAAAAATATAAATTTTTCGATGGGAAATTTCTGACAGAAAAATCCATCAAAAATTTCTGACGGATTTTTATACTGACAGATAAAAATCCGTCGGTAATTTCTAACGGATTTATCCATCAAAAATTACCTACGAATTTTTCTGTCAAAAATTTTTGACGGATTTTTTTGTCAAAAAATTTGTTTTTGATAAAAAAATAATTCGTAGGAAAAGTTATATTATTGATGGAATATTTTTGACAAATTTATCTTTGTCGAAAATATAAGAATTTATTTGCAAAAATTGACAATCATATATTAAAAAAAATCAATAAAATTTTAAAATACATATATATATATGTATGTATATATGATAAGGGTTATAATAACACCGGTATAATTTTTGCTAAGAATTACACCGGTCAATAACTTTATATTAAATGAGAATTTTGTAAATCTAACCGTTAAATTGAAAATTCTTTACTCTTA